CAACATTGAATTGTTACATCTTCAACATTGAACTGTTACATCTAAAACATTGAAATGTTACATCTACAACATTGAACTGTTACATCTCCAACATTGAACTGTTACATCTACAACATTGAACTGTTACATCTTCAACATGAACTGTTACATCTCCAACATTGAACTGTTACATCTACAATATTGAACTGTTACATCTTCAACATGAACTGTTACATCTCCAACATTGAACTGTTACATCTGCAACATTGAACTGTTATATCTACAACATTGAACTGTTACATCTACAACATTGAACTGTTACATCTTCATCATTGAACTGTTACATCTCCAACATTGAACTGTTACATCTACAACATTGAACTGTTATATCTACAACATTGAACTGTTACATCTACAACATTGAACTGTTACATCTACAACATTGAACTGTTACATCTTCATCATTGAACTGTTACATCTCCAACATTGAACTGTTACATCTACAACATTGAACTGTTATATCTACAACATTGAACTGTTACATCTACAATATTGAACTGTTATATCTACAACAATGAACCGTTATATCTACAACATTGAACTGTTATATCTGCAACATTGAACTGTTTTATCTACAACATCGAACTGTTACATTTACAACATTGAACTATTTTATCTACAACATCGAACTGTTACATTTACAACATTGAACTCTTACATCTACAAAATTGAACTGTTACATCTACAACATTGAACTGTTTTATCTACAACATCGAACTGTTACATTTACAACATTGAACTGTTATATCTACAACATTGAACTGTTATATCTACAACATTGAACTGTTACACCTACAACATTGATCTGTTACCTGTACAACATTGAACTGTTACATCTTCAACATTGAACTGTTACATCTTCAGATTGAACTGTTACATCTACAACATTGAACTGTTACATTTACAACATTGAACTATTACATCTGCAACATTGAACTGTTACATCTACAACATTGAACTGTTACATTTACAACATTTAACTGTTACATTTACAACATTGAACTGTTATATCTACAACATTGAACTGTTATATCTACAACATTGAACTATTATATCTACAACATGGGACCGTTATATCTACAACATTGAACTGTTACACCTCCAACATTGAACTATTACACCTCCAACATTGAACTGTTATATCTACAACAATGAACTGTTATATCTACAACAATGAACTGTTACACCTCCAACATTGAACTATTACACCTCCAACATTGAACTGTTATATCTACAACAATGAACTGTTATATCTACAACAATGAACTGTTACACCTCCAACATTGAACTATTACACCTCCAACATTGAACTGTTATATCTACAACATTGAACCGTTACATCTACAACATTGAACTGTTACATCTACAAAATTGAACTATTACACCTCCAACATTGAACTGTTATATCTACAACATTGAACCGTTACATCTACAACATTGAACTGTTACACCTTCAACATTGAACTATTACACCTCCAACATTGAACTGTTATATCTACAACATTGAACCGTTACATCTACAACATTGAACTGTTACATCTACAACATTGAACTGTTACATCTACAACATTGAACTGTTACATTTACAACATTTAACTGTTACATCTACAACATTGAACTGTTATATCTACAACATTGAACTGTTATATCTACAACATTGAACTATTATATCTACAACATGGGACCGTTATATCTACAACATTGAACTGTTACACCTCCAACATTGAACTATTACACCTCCAACATTGAACTGTTATATCTACAACAATGAACTGTTATATCTACAACAATGAACTGTTACACCTCCAACATTGAACTATTACACCTCCAACATTGAACTGTTATATCTACAACAATGAACTGTTATATCTACAACAATGAACTGTTACACCTCCAACATTGAACTATTACACCTCCAACATTGAACTGTTATATCTACAACATTGAACCGTTACATCTACAACATTGAACTGTTACATCTACAAAATTGAACTATTACACCTCCAACATTGAACTGTTATATCTACAACAATGAACCGTTACATCTACAACATTGAACTGTTACACCTTCAACATTGAACTATTACACCTCCAACATTGAACTGTTATATCTACAACATTGAACCGTTACATCTACAACATTGAACTGTTACATCTACAACATTGAACTGTTACATCTACAACATTGAACTGTTATATCTACAACATTGAACTGTTATATCTACAACATTGAACTATTATATCTACAACATGGGACCGTTATATCTACAACATTGAACTGTTACACCTCCAACATTGAACTATTACACCTCCAACATTGAACTGTTATATCTACAACAATGAACTGTTATATCTACAACAATGAACTGTTACACCTCCAACATTGAACTATTACACCTCCAACATTGAACTGTTATATCTACAACAATGAACTGTTATATCTACAACAATGAACTGTTACACCTCCAACATTGAACTATTACACCTCCAACATTGAACTGTTATATCTACAACATTGAACCGTTACATCTACAACATTGAACTGTTACATCTACAAAATTGAACTATTACACCTCCAACATTGAACTGTTATATCTACAACAATGAACCGTTACATCTACAACATTGAACTGTTACACCTTCAACATTGAACTATTACACCTCCAACATTGAACTGTTATATCTACAACATTGAACTGTTACATCTACAACATTGAACTGTTACACCTCCAACATTGAACTATTACACCTCCAACATTGAACTGTTATATCTACAACATTGAACCGTTACATCTACAACATTGAACTGTTACATCTACAAAATTGAACTGTTACATCTCCAACATTGAACTGTTTTATCTACAACATCGAACTGTTACATTTACAACATTGAACTGTTTTCTCTACAACATTGAACTGTTATATCTCCAAGACTGAACCGGTACATCTACAACATTGAACTGTTATATCTACAACATTGAACTGTTATATCTACAACATTGAACTGTTACATCTACAACATTGAACTGTTACATCTACAATATTGAACTGTTATATCTACAACAATGAACCGTTATATCTACAACATTGAACTGTTATATCTGCAACATTGAACTGTTTTATCTACAACATCGAACTGTTACATTTACAACATTGAACTATTTTATCTACAACATCGAACTGTTACATTTACAACATTGAACTCTTACATCTACAAAATTGAACTGTTACATCTACAACATTGAACTGTTTTATCTACAACATCGAACTGTTACATTTACAACATTGAACTGTTATATCTACAACATTGAACTGTTATATCTACAACATTGAACTGTTACACCTACAACATTGATCTGTTACCTGTACAACATTGAACTGTTACATCTTCAACATTGAACTGTTACATCTTCAGATTGAACTGTTACATCTACAACATTGAACTGTTACATTTACAACATTGAACTATTACATCTGCAACATTGAACTGTTACATCTACAACATTGAACTGTTACATTTACAACATTTAACTGTTACATTTACAACATTGAACTGTTTTATCTACAACATTGAACTGTTATATCTACAACATTGAACTATTATATCTACAACATGGGACCGTTATATCTACAACATTGAACTGTTACACCTCCAACATTGAACTATTACACCTCCAACATTGAACTGTTATATCTACAACAATGAACTGTTATATCTACAACAATGAACTGTTACACCTCCAACATTGAACTATTACACCTCCAACATTGAACTGTTATATCTACAACATTGAACCGTTACATCTACAACATTGAACTGTTACATCTACAAAATTGAACTATTACACCTCCAACATTGAACTGTTATATCTACAACATTGAACCGTTACATCTACAACATTGAACTGTTACACCTTCAACATTGAACTATTACACCTCCAACATTGAACTGTTATATCTACAACATTGAACCGTTACATCTACAACATTGAACTGTTACACCTCCAACATTGAACTATTACACCTCCAACATTGAACTGTTATATCTACAACATTGAACCGATACATCTACAACATTGAACTGTTACATCTACAAAATTGAACTGTTACATCTCCAACATTGAACTGTTTTATCTACAACATCGAACTGTTACATTTACAACATTGAACTGTTTTCTCTACAACATTGAACTGTTATATCTCCAAGACTGAACCGGTACATCTACAACATTGAACTGTTATATCTACAACATTGAACTGTTATATCTACAACATTGAACTGTTACATCTACAACATTGAACTGTTATATCTACAACACTGAACTGTTATATCTACAACAATGAACCGTTATATCTACAACACTGAACTGTTATATCTACAACATTGAACTGTTACATCTACAACATTGAACTGTTACATCTACAACATTGAACTGTTACATCTACAACATTGAACTGTTACATCTACAACATTGAACTGTTATATCTACAACACTGAACCGTTATATCTACAACACTGAACTGTTATATCTACAACATTGAACTGTTACATCTACAACATTGAACTGTTATATCTACAACATTGAACTGTTACATCTACAATATTGAACTGTTATATCTACAACAATGAACCGTTATATCTACAACATTGAACTGTTATATCTGCAACATTGAACTGTTACATCTACAACATTGAACTGTTATATCTACAACATTGAACTGTTACATCTGCAACATTGAACTGTTATATCTACAACAATGAACTGTTATATCTACAACACTGAACTGTTCCATCTACAACATTGAACTATCATATCTAAGACATTGTATCTATAACCTACATCGAACTATTTCATCTACAACAGTTAAAAATACGTCTAGAACAGATACGTTTTAACAAACTCAGGCAAAATCATTCTTGTTTCAGAAAATCAGAAAACAATTCCACATGTTTGTTTTAGGCGTGGTGCTGTGCAAGATTACCAACTCCATGCCTATCTTCTGTATTGTCGTGTCCATCTACAGTCTGGTCGCCATATCATGTGAACGACGCAAGGCGATCCTGCTGCGGGTGGAACCTGAGCGACCAGGTACGCCAGAGATTCACCTTGTGTTTTAAACAACTTCATGTTAATACATTGCCGGGCAGAAGGAAGAAAACATCCATGTTTGATGGGGTGAAACAAACAGGAACTAATGGTTATTCGATGGTTATGTATTTGATACGGGTGTCATTGTTGTGTTTTCGGCGACTGTTTTTATCCTTTAGTCCTGGCCACGTGAAATAGAATCACGAAATAACGCGGTTTGTTTGTTTGTTGTTTAACGCCGCACTCAGCAATATTCCAGCTATATGACGGTGGTCTGTAAATGATCGAGTCTGGACCAGACAATCCAGTGATTGACCTAATGAGCATCGATCCACGCATTGGGGATACGGCGACATGCATCAACCAAGTCAGCGAGCCTGACCACACGATCCCGTAAGGAGCCTTTTACGACAAGCATAACGCGGTGATTAATGAATGAAGACAGCTGCACACGTGCCGATACTTATTGAGTGAAAACACGCCATTCCGTCGATAAGAAATATTACTTACAGTAATGACAAAAATTGCAAAGTGCGCTTTTCAAGAAATTTCCATTTTCCTCGCGATAAACACCATCATTGAGGTTTGATCACGTGGTTTCCAACTCAGTGGTTATATATATTGTTCCACGATCTAAAATTTACGTCCTCGTATTTTAAGTTAAGTGTTTTAGGAAGTGAATCATGTTGCTTTTGTCGTTAGATCACGAGGAAGCAGTTTGCTGAAGCGTATAAGGTGCGATGCAGATTTGGATTGGCGATCAATAAGGAAAACACTTTGCTACAACCCACAGCCACAAGTCAAAATTAAAATCGTTTACAGGGAGAAGCAGAGAGAGTGGTTACCTCAGCTAAACGTGCTGTATCAGGCAGACTCAACGGTCACGTTATCAGGAAAGGATCTTCCGTTAATCATTCGTTGGTAAACAAACCATTGCGCGAATCAAAAAATAAATGGGACACGGGTGGCCCAGTCGTCGAAAGTCGCCGCAATTCGTTGTGCAGAGTTGCCTCCCTTACGGACCCCAGAAACCTATGATCGCTTGTTCAAATCCAGGTTCGCCCTGATTATGTTTCTGGGCTTGTCAGCACCATACCTGTACTCGTGGATGAAATGTTCCCCCACATTATCCTGACACGCAATGATATAACTGGTATACTGTTCAAAGTAGCATAAAACCTGACTCACTCACAATTCTGCTTTCTGTTTTGTTCACTCTGCGTTTATTCAGACACTGGAAGAAAGCTACATAAAAAGAAAAACATTTCCTTAATCATAAGAAGTCTCTACTAAAACAGAGTCCATTGTACGACTCCGACTATATGATTAGCATGTGCTTATGCACAATTATCAAACAGTGATGACAAATAAATGCCATTTGTGTAGGTCATGCAGCTTTAAAAATCATCCCAATAATCTGGATCGGTGCAGCCGTCGTCATCATCCCCACAGTCATCGAGTACTCCGTCTACATCAGCGTCTCAGACGACAACAACATCTCCGCCACGTCATGCGCGTCAGTCACCTTCTCTTCGGCAGCCTCCATCTCCAACGGCTTCGTGCTGCTGTTGACGGCGTATATCATCCCCCTCATCTTCATCCTGGGAAACTACTTGAGAATACTGAACTTTCTCCGAGAGCACGGGCTGTGTGATGGGTCGAGGCGGAGGAAGAGCACTCCCAGAGGGTTCTTCATTTACCGCCATCGGGTGAAGATAGTCAAGATGCTCATACTCGTGGCTGCCCTTTTCGCCATATCCTGGCTGCCTTACTTTATACTACTCATATCACAGGTGAGGCTTCTGTTTGCAGGAAACATTCTACTTGAAGAGTTGTCTCCCTTAGTCATGTAAGATCCGCTGATCGGGAGTTTAAAGATTCGCCTCTGTTATGAGAATTGGTTTGTTAGAATGATTCTGGTATCGTGCAGTATTATGTTGGTTGGTTTGCCAAATGTGCAAACGTCTACGACCTGCATCGCTTCAGGCTGCCTCTAACATTTACATATCACTGAAATACCGTTTATTGCAGAGTGTTCTATGGCGAGTTAATAAGCTGGGTATCGTTGCACAACTGAGCCTCAACTCCCCTATTGCCCTCACGATTGACCTAAACTAACGATCGCGTATTGCTTTCCTTTAAGAAGTCATATTTAATTCTGATTTCCCCGTCTTCATGAGAACATACCATGTCATTCAAGCATCCTTCGCATTTTGTCCCACATGCGGTTACCGCATTATTTCTGATTTGTGCATTGCCTGTCATGGGCATACGCTCTTCGCCTTTGTTGTTGGATTGTCTTGCGACAGAGTAGCCAAGAGTAATAAACGATGTCTTGTTTCAAGACCAAACAATTACTCTCAGACAATTTATAGTGACTTCTTGTATGATGGGGAACTGTTAGTATGGTACAATCTTTTAATTAAGAAACAGATGGTTGAGGTGTTTCCCATAACAAAATCCCTTGGAAACCTGTAAAGGCAAGATCATCAAGACAGATTATTCTCTGGCGTGGACGTTTTATCCATATTGACCAAAAGAGGACAAGATATTATAAGTATCCTTTACTTTAGGAGCCACATGATGGAACTTCAGAGTCATTAAAATGAACCAACGTTTCAGAAATTGTTTTTGAAGTTGTGTTGTTGTGTTCAGGACATGCCGACCTTTCACTAACATCTGGTGCCATCGCTGATCCGTTCACATACTTTCCACCACTATTTTACCGTTTACGCCCAATGGAGACCCGTGAAGATTACGGGGTAGAATAGGTCTTCAGGAACCAATGCTTGCCGTAAAAGGTGACTATGTTTGTCGTAAAAGGCGACTAACGGGATCGGAAGGTCAGGCGCGCTGACTTGGTTGATGCATGTCATCGATCCCAATTGCGTGGATCGATGCTCATGATATTAATCACTGGATTGTCTGGTCCAGACTCGATTATTTACAGACCGCCGTCATGTAGCTTGAATATTGCTGAGTGCGGCATTAAACAACAAACCAACCAACCCAATGGAATCTGTTCCGGCAGATAATCGGGATGGATTATTCTCTGGTGTTGACGTTTTGATTTCACATGAATGAAATTCAGATTTCGTTTTGTTCCAATCTCATAAAAATCAGATCTTAGTTCTCGCTACCGCTACATCCCATTACGGGTCACGTCAGACCAACCTTTCGCATACTTTGACCGACCAATGGAATGACCAATCAGAAGGCAGGTTTCTCGTGTTTTACTGCACTAATTTCAAATTGGCGACTACTCTTCGAAACATTTTTTGACAAATTTTCGATTACAAATTTGAAACCTAAACAAAAGAACATTCTGGAATGGCTGATAGATGGTCTAGATTATTTGGATTCAGTCGTTAAACCCGTAACTATCGTTCGGAATATCCTGTGTTAAAGTTTTTGAGGTTGCATGATTAAAATTCACATTCCGACTGTCACTTTCATGATCTGGTAAGCGACGCTCTGATTGGTCGGATGAAAGGTCGTTCGGACGTGACCCCTAATGGGATGTCTTCAGATCTTTGTTTAGCGGTAGCGAGAACTAAGGTCTGATTTTAATGAGATTGGTTTTGTTCAAATGTTCCATGCTTTTGTTTTGTCAGCAACAAAATTAATGTTTAACTGATGTTCCAAAAAATTAGATTTCTAGATGTTTTCAGGGGCGTTTATAACAACGTGAACCTTTATCATTTCGATATTAATTTGTTTAGAAGATGTTTGACATACAGACACGTGGTAAAAAGATAATTTTATTCATACATGTCTGGTCATGTTGTCTTTAAATTTTTTTTAGATATTTTACAGTGAGTCCTTTCATTGTATCATCAGCAAGTTAACGGTTTGTGTTAATATTTCAGAAAATATCGGGTAGAGACGATCATATGTTTGTGGGTGGCCCTATAAACATGATCAAAATATCCTTAGCGTCGTTCAGCACGGCATACAACGTCGTTCTCTACGCCATCTACAACCGCAACTTCAGGGGAGCATTTAGAAAAATGTTTTACAATGACAAAACCGTTGACGACGGTACCGATCTCGGCTCTAACAGTAGTTACAGTCGCAGTTCCACTAGCCTCCCTCTGGCTGCGAGACCACCAATCGTCACTCAGATGTAGGCTGTTCCGTAAAAACAAATGTACATCTTTCTGTGTTCATGGTTATAAAACATATCATTGTGTATTGTGGGCGTCCTTTTTCCATGTTTTTTTCATGTGTCGTTCTTCGCAAAATAAAATAAAATTGCACCATTGTATCGATCACCGAACAATATACAGTAAACTACGGTTATAACGAACTCAAAAGGACCAGTAATTATAACCGTAGTACATTATAAACATATATACATGATATATACAGCAAATGCCCGGGACCAAAACACAGTACGTTATATCCCTCAGTTCGTTATAAGCGTGTTCGTTATAAACGCACTTTACTGTATTACCCAGAAATGTGCATTAAAGTTAGTAGAATTTGGCTTATTTATGGAGTATGTATATTACAGAATTATCAAATAAACCATAAACTGCTGTGGTCGATTCTGGTCGATGGGATTAACACTAAAGGGTTGTCTGACACGCACATGAAGTCATGTTCTACATTTTGAAATGTGTATTATCATGACTGGGAAAACGTGCCACTGTTGTTCTTATCGTGTTCAGATGTCTGTTTGTAATATCATGCAGTTTATTTCAAGGGTGTGTTTTTTCTAAAAAATGTAAATTACGGATTTGACAAATTCAAATCGCATTAAAAGCTGGACCCGTTCCACAAAGTGACTTTAGCACTACGACGAACGTAAGCCTATGTTAATGTATGGGACTTACGATCACCTTAGCGCTAAGATCGCTATGAGGAACGGGGCCCTGATCTTTTACTGTGATACGACACCTCTCTGTGTGTAGATCTGACGACATTTCCACGGGTGATGGCAGGGCGATCAGAAACGAGAGGATGCAGAGAACATCAGCAAAATGTAATTACGCGGCTTTCATATTTTGCATCCGTAATCGATATGCTTGTCTGAATGCTTTGCTCACCAGTACAGAGAACTGAGAAGCCTCGACACTGATTGGCTGGTTAGAATGTTCACATAACTTTTAGCTTGAAAAGGTGAGGTGAAGTGTGTTTTTAGTTTCCACAAAATCAGTATACGCGCTATCGTGTCACTTGATTGTCTGGCCGAGATTTGCTGTCACTGTATTGTCTGGTCCAGACTGGATTGTTTAGAGGACACCGTCGTAAGACCAAAGCAACCTGTTTCCTGGGAGAATGGAGGCTGAATATTCCCTGGCTTTAACTATTATATAATTGACTTCTCCCTGTGTGTGTGTGTGTGTGTGTGTGTGTGTGTGTGTGTGTGTGTGTGTGTGTGTGTGTGCGTGCGTGCGCGTGCGTGCGTGCGTGTGTGTGTGTGTGTGTGTGTGTGTGTGTGTACTAATTAAGCCTCTAAACATCCATCTGACGAGGTAAATCAGCGATGCCCGACATCACACCTCCACGCGACAAGTTAACATGACGGCCTTAAACGAGCCTCTATAGGTTCTGTGTCCACACACATCTGGCAAACGATCACGGCTAGGGATTTGTGTCTTATTTACAGGAAATAATGAAGTAGGTCGGCAGTCACTTCCTATCTCCTCTAATGGCTCCTGTTAACCCTTTCAACGTGGCATGGAGATATGCTCGTGATCAGACAATCAAGTGACTGAAATCATGAGGTGTCTTTTCTTGCGTGGATTATCGGGTTCAAATCCCACTTTTTGAAATTTATGCATTGACCCCAGTGACATGAACCAGAAAATAATACCTTTTTATAACACACATCAACACACATGAAAATCATAGTCCGAGTGACTCTGGATAAGAACCCACGACCAGCGGATCGTGGCACGGGTAGGGGACGCAACTCTGAAAAGTGAATTGCGTAACCTGACAGCTGTCCCTGACTCAACTATAGACTTTCCTAAAAGAGGGGTTAAAAAATTGCGTTTCCTTGATTTTCGCTGCTTTAACCAATAGTTTAGAGCACCGGTTTATCGTAGAAAGTAGTCTAGCAGAGCCTTGAGAAAAGTTTTAAAAAGTGTCCAACTCAAGTCTAGAATGATTTGACAAGTCTAGATTTGCCTCAGCTCCTGAATTTAAGAATTGTTCTGGGCTCCATTTGGTTTATATCATTGTCATTTTGTAGATATATATTTTAGTCTTTATTTCCGGGTCTGAATAACAGTCTAGGTAGAAAGAAGCATTGGTGAGCTGAAATAGCGTTGTGTTAATTGGCAATAAAGAGGTCAATGTGTTTTGAGAAGAAGATGACTATCCCTCTTGAAATATTTGTTGAAAGTGGAAAATAACGTTAATAATAATAATAATAATAATAATAATAATAATAATAATAATAATAATAATAATAACAATTTATTTTAGACAATTTGAAAAACGCCGCACTATGACAATCTCGAAGAAAACATCTAAGAAACAGCAGCAGCCAATGTTTCCCCAAACCTGGCGTATTTTGTGCGCCATATTTAAGATATTTTGCATGTCTAGAGGTAGTTGTACAAATGAGTTCTGGGACACTGTAGTGAAATCGAGAACCTCAAAAGTCGGGTAAGGTCAGAGAAGGTCGACTAGACTGTTCATGTGTTACCGGGCCCCGAGGGAAAGGAACGATGTTCATGCCTTCAGTCACTGGTTTGTCTGGTCCAGACTTGATTATTCACAGGTTGTGGTGATATAGCTATAATATTGCTGACTTTGGTGTTAAGAAACATTCACTCACTGAACGTCTCGAGTACAATTACACATTATGCTGACAAGCCAATATAAATCTCAGGGCACCTGAACCAACGACTAACGGAACTGTATTATGCATACCTGTACTACGCATAGACTTGCACAAGCCTCTAAGGCAATAATTACTAGTTCAAATAATAATTTCTAGATTATGTAAATAATAAAAACAAGTTGTCCCAATAAGAGACTGGAGTCCTTAGACTTTGCTGTCCACATATCTAGACTTGCTTATTAGGAGGATAGAATTACTACACATCCATGGACTTACTATACTATGCACAGCGAATTGTCTTGCCTTAAACTCCCTTGGTTTCATCCATGTTCAATATTCCACGGTCTTGCATACACTACGTTTTCCATTACCCGTGAATACATAGGGTAGTGACGAGTGTTTATTGTAAGCTAATGAAATGTGTCCGTTTATAACTCACGAAAGTCAAATGGGCCATGCTCCAAGTTTGTATAAACAACGCCATAGCCTGACACTGAAGCAACTTGTAGAATGAGTGAGTGAGTGAGTGAGCTTTTAACAGTATTCCAGTTATATCACGGCGTGTCAGCTTGATGTGGGAGGAAAGCCCGGAGTGATGCAGGTCTCAGACGTTTACCACTTCGGTGAAACCCATGAGCACGGGTATGGTGCTGACAAACCTAGAAATATAATCGGGGCGAACCGGGATTCGAACCAACAACCATAGGTTTCTGGAGTGCCCAAGGGACGCAACTCTGCACAGCGAATCGCTGCGCCTTAGACGACTGGACCACCCGTGCCCCCAGTCAACCAGAAAGCCATGACACACGTTGTACACGCTGTCAAGCGGGTAACATTATAAGTTGTATAACATCATGGCCGGATCTAGTAAAATGGGACATTGTAAAAGAATTAACACAAATTCAAAATTGATAGAAAACAGATGTTCGAGGTTAACGTGCTATGTCACGTGACTTCATTTGCTCGAGAAAAGCGTGCGGCTTTTTTTTGCATCGAAGCAGGGTATAAGGATTTATACTGCCCCTCAGAAATCCCCGTGCAGCCTGCATTGTACCTGGCGGGGTATAAGACCTTTAATCCCCCGCTGAGAAATTTATACCCTCCAAGGCGGGTTACACAGTATTTTTTCAAGATCACGTGGACCAATCAGATCTCATCAGTCTGATAGAGGTATAATAATGACGTGTGTATCGTTGTAACGATAGCACTCATTGGTCAGTGTACTCGCTGGTTCCCCTCTCGTTTGAACCAGACTGTCGCTTGATTCCTTGGATACAAATCTGCAAAGCGGCCATATTATTCACAGATGATGGAGGCACGTCGTGCTCACAAACCCGGGAAGTTTTGACGGTGTGCTTCCTCACTAAAAGGAATATTAAATAAAAAACAAAAAATACATTCATTTCATTTTTTTATTACATGAGATGACTGGAATGATCGCCATATTAACCTTGATGACCACGTCAGCCAACAATTGTTTTCCCTAATACTGACCAGTAACGGTCACCTATTGATATTGCCAATGGTCAAATGAATACATCTGGCCGTCCGTAAATTGTGATACCATAGACGCCCCTGCGTTTTCATGGCTATAGGACATTTATACTAGTCAACACGTGAAGGGTATTTCTTACCACTCATGCATTAAGTGAACAATGCATTACTGCGCTCACTAAAGCCATCACATATTACAGAACTGGCCCACCATACTATTACGTGACAGGAAGTGTGTGTCAAACACTCTCTATTACAATTCGGTTTAACTGAAGCCTGTGCTCACTGTCACTTGGTTTATGGCTTCTTAGATCAATATTCTAAAATAATGTCATAAAATAAATTCATATAATAAAATAATTCATATAATACGAATTACTAAATCATAACACAAAAATGAAATTTGACAATGGCATTATTTTTCGATACGTATTTTTAAGAGTAAAAAAATCAAATTTATTCGTTAAAGTATGTCCTCAAAATAACAAAAAATAGCATAATTATTCGATATGTATTTCTAAAACGGCAAAGACAAATTTATTCGTTAAAGCATGTCCTAAAAATAAAAATTGTAAAAGGCATTTGTACAGTTCTTAATGAACAGCCAAATTTGAATTTAGTTCATATAATACAAAGTTGTTGCAAAATGCATTAGCAAAAATGAAATATGAAATTCCTTAAGTAAGTTTTCTCAGCAATATTTGTCACACAATTCCAATCAATTCACAAGATGACTATGTAAAATTGTAATACTGTACGAAATAGTACAATATAAATTTCAACAGCAGCACTGGGAGATTGTTGAAACAGAATTGTACGTGTACATACATGATTTCAACAGCGTAATTCTCGACCCCAACACTTTCATCATATTCCGCTATTTCGCACAGTAAACGACCTCTATGCATGTTCAAGGAATGTATATAAATATATGTACAACAAACACGTCTTGCAGGTCTAATATCACAGATGATTGCCGTACAATGTGTGCACCACGTGTTTGCACGTCGACCGCTTCTTACAATCATTTACACGTCTAGGAAAATATTTCACAAAATATATATGCAATTTATCCGTAGGCACATGGAGACAGCACATACACACTGCGAGAATGTTCCACAGTCGCCGTGATTGACATATGACACTGATATGTATCACGTGTCAATCTTACCACAGAAATGAAATGAAATAATCACTTCCTTAGCTGACAATCTATGGAACATTGCGGATAAGTCTTATTAAGACATTCAATCAATTATCAACCACTGCAGCCACTGCACGACACATTACAAAATAATGAAACCCATATTACTGTCAAATGCACGGAAGCTCATTAGGGCCAAAAAATTAAAATAAATTCTCTTGAAAAAAAGTTCTTCATTGTCAACAGTAACAGCTCAGAGCACAAAATGAAGCTTTGGGAACTTCATTTGTTGAATGCAGTACATCTTGAATTCTTCACTTAATAACTTGATTTTTCCAGATAGTATAAGATAATTTTTTATTTTATAAAGTTAATAATTTTGAACTCAATTTTCAAGTTATTACCTTGAATTGTCAAGATAATACTAACATGACATGGTCCTGATGGGCTTCCGTACAAATGAACTAATCACTTTCAGTTGGATATGGTAATATTGAATTGAACATGCCAAATTAAGGTTCTCGTTATCTTTAGTTCAGTGCATTTATGTCCCTCGCCCAAGCGACCAATAATTGCCCAATAAAAATACGTTTACTTCAAATGGCAAATTCATATCTAAGCTCTCAGTGTACACTTAAATAACATAAATGCAACAATAAATGTAGTGCGTCAATTAGGACACTGTTGATATAGTCTTAAACACTTAATCACAATTTTCTTTTTAAATAGAAATGTCCAATCAACAGTTCCAAGCTTTGATTATACGAGTATAAATACTGATTTTAATTGTTTTTATTTGACCCTTCGTCTAATCATTGAGACCTGAGCTTGACATATTCCACACTATATGCGAATTCCAATCAGGTATAGCATTAAAATAGATAATTGGATAAAAAATAAACGTAAATATATGATTAATATGTAGAGACAGAACCCTGACTAAAATAACTTCCAAATAAAGACACCAGTAACATCAGAGTAAAACCCAACCATAGCCCACAGCAACTCCCTCAATAAATGTCAATACAATGACATCTCGAGAACATAGATATCATGACATAGATACTCGATGATTTTGTCTCTACACCATTGCAAGAGAACAGTTTCTTTAACCATAGATTTCTGAGGATCCACTGGACACCACAAACAAAGACACAGAGAGACGCCAAACGGCCACAACCATTTGTTGATTGAACAACTGAGACCGCGAGAATCGGTTGCACATAGGAACACATACGTAGATACGTCGTTGTTCACGAAGTCACAGAAGTCAGGTTTTTTTAAGATCAAAGAATGGCTGCCGAAGTCCTTTGGATTTTGAAAGAAAGAGTGACAGTCCTTCTGCACAAAGAAGGATTTTACTGTAGTTTCTGCGAACTAGCGGCTCATCTCCACGAGTCAACGTTTCTCTTCAGGGAGATCAGCGCTTGATTCGTAGTTCTGACTCATTTAAGATAATAATATGATATTAATATCATCTTACTAGACTTTCATAGTTTACACTGTAAAAGAAAGCATAACACGAGTTGAACACTTGACTGGACTGAATTAAAATGATCCCTTGATCAATGGTATATATCCAAGTTGAAATGAATTGTCCCAAAGTTGAAGAGGTGGCTATTGTCCATGATTAATGCACAGGTCAGTTTAAAACATGCCTGGCCACACGAAGCATGTCCTCCGTCCGGCTCTAATGACCAAATAGTGATCCTGAAGGTGTTTGGTCTGATATGTTTGTCTAGAATGGTTAGAAACCATTTTGATACACCTTGCTCAAGGGAACATCATCTTTGAACCTTTCTGATAATTTGTTCATTCACATTAGAAGAAATCATCGACGATGACGGACTTATACGGTTGACCACGTCGGTTGACACAGTCCATGACCATATGAAGGACCTTCATGACCCTTCTGTCCAGCGAGTCCAGAAAGGGGTCAAGGAGAACGGGGCTGACCATGTCTACTGCTAGCACTCGCCTCATCACAGTGCTCAGACTCTCGGGGCCCCGGTACAGCTTCACTAGTTTAATGAAGGTGGAATGGCGGATCAAACAGCACTGGCTGATGGGAGCTAGGATGGACATCTCATCGTGCTTCGTCTTCCCGAACCTGGAGTGGAGTATGGAGTGATTGTTGAATATATTTTGTTTGTTTGCCGCACTCAGCTTTATTCCAGCTGTATGACGGCGGTCGGAAAATAATCGAGTCTGGACCAGATAATCCAGTGATTTACATCATGAACATCGATCTACACAACTGGAATACGATGACATGCAACAACCAAGTCAGCAACCTGACCACCCAATCCCGTTAGTCGCCTCTTACGACAATCATAGCCGCTTTTAACGGCAAGCATGGGTTGCTGAAGACCTCTTCTACCCCGGATCTTCACCGGTCCCATGTCACAAAGAAAAGCCATATTTACCACATCATTCATATGTTTCTAGGAGTGCGTAATATAGACAATATTCTGTTAAAAACAACAAACGTTTTATCCTCCAGAAGTGATAGCAAAGTTTCATTCTTATTTCTACTTACGATTTCCCATTGTCAAGGTGCACGATGAAAGTCTCATTGCCGAAGTCCAGAAACGTCTCATAATGATGCCTGTCCATGTTGCCTGGTAACCGTTTAAAAAATACTATCATTTCTGTGTCCTATACCTCGCACCAGTAATTTGCCATCCGAGCAAAGCCCACAACGAAGCAATTGTTCTGGTGCAAGTTGCCCTTGGATGGCGATATAGTAATACAACCAGCACACAGTAGCTCATCTAACAACAGTCCACAATAAGTAATCGGCTTAATGTACATTCTACCCATAGTAAAGAAAGACAAATCTTTATGTCCGTGATTTATACATAACTAATCAAACACGCGGTTGACAACTTGGGCCCCAGACGTCAAAGGCGCCGCAATACGCTGTGCAGAGTTGCGTCCCATGGGTATCGCAGGAACCTATGATCATGGGTTCACCAACGTGGTAAATGTGACTTGCATCACGTGGGGCTTTCCTCCCACACCAAGCGGATATAAATGAAATTTTGTGATATATTGTTTAATGACAAAAGCTCACTATAGCTCAGTGGTTACACTACAAGTCGCTAATGTTCGCATTTCTTTCTGACGATGCAAACATTCCTTTTGACTTCTATATGTTTGAGTAAAGATAAAGCTTCAGTTAACTTCAGTGAACGCATGATCTGATTGTTTGACACATGTATCTTTATAGTCTTAGCCAGGGCTGCGGTAAAACAATTACCAATCAGACATTTTGTTCCCAACTCTTGAGACGTGCAGTGGGTCCCCGGGTAGGGTCGGGGAATAGGGGGTCGGGTACTCGGGTAGTAAATTTGGACTCGTCCCAGCCCTAGGCAAAAACTTCACTCAATCCATTATATTTTACAGAATTTGACTTCAAGTGAGTGTAAGATTGGACATGTTCACTGTACCTGTCAGAAAGTCGAACACTGTTATATCCATGAGATCCAGGAGCCGACGACCAGAGTTGTAGGGAGGGCGACTCCTCACCTTGTCGCACAAATCATCGTAAACTTCCCAGTATGCTTTGCGTTGCTTGCTGTACGACCGAATCCATGGGTTCAGCCATCTTTCTCTTGGTGCTATTTTCTCTGGCGGAAGGAATGTTGCGAGCGACGCCTCCGAGGTGTCTGGGTTGCCGCAGATGGCGTGGGTCGAGTCACAGTAGAAGATACACGAGCCGTGGAAACACACGTTGCCAGCTGAAACAGAGGCATTGGTGAAGTCACATCTCACATCACATCAGGAACATCTTTCTTCGGAACTATTAAAGAATTAAAGACGTTAGGTACTAGTACACCATATAGTGTCGCGTGACAGAGTATGTTGTTCGATGTGATGGTCACGTGAACTCGTCAGTCTGGCATGGGCTCCTTCCAAGGCTGGCGAGGGTGAGTTAAGGGCCTGAGTGGCATTATTCCAACAAACTGTTTACCGCATTACAAGAATCTCACCTGGGGAATAGAAGAAGGTCTTGACAAGGTTGTGGTCAGCGAAGCGTTTGATGTCGTGGGTCATGTTGATCTTGCGACCGGCCGTCGGGGGCACTCGGTGAAAACCTAGCAGCCTGAAGCGACACAATCATATTTTAAATGAGCCACTTCGATATCAAGTTCATGCACCTGTAGAAAGAGGGTCACAACTTTTCTCGTGTATTTCAGTCAGTTGATTTATGTGTCACGTGGTTTTGGTTAACATTCTTTCACATGCATCAGTCGACTTGCCTGAAAGAACAGCTCTGGTTAATGTATTTTATTTTATTCTATACCTGTTTCTTGTGTCAAAGGACAAACAATTTATCTTGTCAACATTTACGTTATGTCAACAATATTATTAACGTTTTTCTGCCTTCCATGTATCCCGTAGGCGATTATTGCTGTTGGTATACAATTGTGGAATGCCTTATTTATGATTAACCCGCGAATATCCGGGTCAGAATAGGTCTTCAGCAACCCATGCTTGCCGTAAAAGGCGACTATGCTTGTCGTAAGAGGCGACTAACGGAGTCGGGTGGTCAGGCTCGCTGACTTGGTTGTTGCATGTCATCGATCCCAATTGCGTGGATCGATGCTCATGATGTCACTGGGTTGTCTGGTCCAGACTCGATTATTTACAGACCGCCGTCATATAGCTGGAATATTGTTGAGTGCGGCGTTAAACAACAAACAAACAAACAACAAACAACAAACAAATATGAATAACCTTGCAGATGCAACTATGGAAATTGTGAGTTGGATTACAACACCGTCACTTGTACACCTTGGGTGGTGAGGTGAAATGGGGTTTAAGTGATACCCACTCCGACATAGTGGACTCAGATCCCACCAGTCCTTGTTTATCCCCAGGCAGGATAACAACAAGAACCATAATTTAACGTCTTTTGTATGTATGATGGTGCTGGGGGTTGTACGCGATATTCCGCTCTCCAGGCAGGAGCTCTACCACTAGACAACAGAGGCAGTTGTACAAGTCAGGTGAGGTGAAATTAGGCTTAACGTCGCGTCCAAGATTATTGCTCTTATATAGCGACGTGCATGCACGTGTGTTTGTGTGTGTGTGTGTGTGTGTGTGTGTGTGTGTGTGTGTGTGTGTGTGTGTGTGTGTGTGGCTGCTTGTACTAGTCCGGACTGATGCCGCCTTATAGTGGTAGCTCACTGAGATACCATGCCGCAGTTTAACATGAATACCCAAATCAGACACAGTATACTGACTCCGAGCCGACCAGTCCTTGTTTAAGCCCCTTAATGCCGAACGCCAGACAGGGTAAGAACAAGTACCATCTTTTAAGTGTGAATGAAAGAATACAAAAGATAACACGATGCTTCAGTGGCAAAAAACGGGCGCAGCTTTATTACTTAACAATACAGGCGGAAGTCGCGACAAGCAGTGTTACACAGTACACAGAAATGCAGTTACATTGCTTGCGTCCGAGGTTTAGCTGGGTACACATCGTGACGCAATGGAGTAACTTCTAAATCATGACCAAATGGGCCGGAACATACACATCATGACCAAATGGGCCGGAATATACACATCATGACCAAATGGGCCGGAATAGAGATGACAGTTCAGTTCATCCTCCGTGGCTAAACACAACGTGAGGCATGAGCTGCAGTCCATCCTGTGTCATTACATACACTGTCATCCTCTGTGGTTTGGGTACACTACATGAGGTGCAGTTAGCATGTTGAGGCTGAACTTACATACAGTTAATGAGTGTTAATGAGAAAACTGAGTTGCCTGCCACGACCTCCGCCGACTATTGCTGCACCAAGTTATATAGTGTGCTGGTGAGAGGCACTGAAACACCAAGAAAATTAGAGCAAGAAATACATTCTTATGCATTAATTCGATCATTGGTTTATATTGCTAATGAACAGATATGCATACTCATTGTGCGTGAAGTATGATGCAAGAAGTATTGATTTACCAAACTTGGTCCTGATGAAAAACATGTTTACATTACAATATTAACATCCAAACCAATGAAAAAAGAAAGCAAAATTGGGCTGGGAGGGAAGGGGTAAATAATATGTTGACTATGAGATTCACGTTTGGCTGCTTGCTGGTGAATGCAGAAAGAGGCTTGCTGTAGTCACCTGCGTCGCGTGATCGGTTTACGTTTACCAACACACTGGTGTAAGGGAGGCAAATCCACTGAACTGTGGTAGGGTGCCTAACCTCCCACTTAAACAAATTTGTTTCATACTGGCTTTCACAAATTAGATTGTGTGAATGAAAAAATACAAAAGATAACACGATGCTTCAGTGGCAAAAAACGGGCGCAGCTATACTACATAACAATACAGGCGGAAGTCGCGACAAGCAGTGTTACACAGTACACAGAAATGCAGTTACATTGCTTGCGTCCGATGTTTAGCTGGGTACACATCCTGACGCAATGTAGTAACTACCAAATCATGACCAAATGGGCCGGAACATACACATCATGACCAATTGGGCCGGAATATACACATCATGACCATATGGGCCGGAATATACACATCATGACCAAATGGGCCGGAATATACACATGACAAAATGGGCCGAAATAGAGATGACAGTTCAGTTCATCCTCCGTGGCTAAACTCAACGTGAGGCATGAGCTGCAGTCCATCCTGTGTCATTACATACACTGTCATCCTCTGTGGTTTGGGTACACTACATGAGGTGCAGTTAGCATGTTGAGGCTGAACTCACTTACAGTTAATGAGTGTTAATGAGAAAACTGAGTTGCCTGCCACAACCTCTGTCACTGAGCTTGGTTAATAGGAAGCTCATCCCCACGAGGATCAAGCATAAGAACTGAATACGAGCGACACTAATTTTGGAATGAACGCCTGGACGAGGACAAACCAGCAAATAACTCACGACCCCCCTGCAAGGAGTTCGCGAAAATGTCATTGCCAATGTCTGACAGGTGGACACCATCCTGTCTGAACAAACCCCTGTCTGCTATGTTAATTTCATTGTGTCCGAGAACGCGGCCTCCAAGGTCTAGTACACCTTTCCTACCAAATCTATTTAATCTCTTCCTCTTGCAATCCATTACTCTGCCGTCTGGTTTACCCCACCATGTGACCCTCTGCAGAACATCTGACCATATGACTTGTGTGAAGGGTATCATGTGATGAATTTTTGTAAGATCCCGACTCACCGTTTGTAATAATACTGCGGTTGGCTCGTCCCCAAGGTCGTTACCTCCCAAATGAAGGAGGAGCCATGCTGGTGGAGGACTGCACCTTAGTTTTTGCAATAGAAATGGCAACAATGATTTCCACTTCATTCCCCCCCACTCAATTTGAGTGTTCTGTCCTGGTTCATCTTGGTCACAAGTGCTGTCTCACCAATCCGTAGGAATGCAAAAAATGCCAAGTTAAACATGGCAGTAAATAAACAAGCTTCGTAACCTGATGTACAAATAGCCTGGAGCTAGGGCTCTAGGCAGCCTCTTCAACATGTCAATTGTGATTGGGTGTCTTGCATCAGGCGTCAACACCAGAGCTGCTGTATTTCTGTATCCCTGAATGCATTTGCGAACTAAAAAGTTTTCAGTAGGGTCGGACCAGCTATTAATTTTGTGAAGTCTGCCAAGAGCTGAGAGGAGTTGAGCTATAGTTGAGCTTGCAAAGGCCTTCCTAGACATACTGGCTATGTAACATAAAATATCATCTACCGGCACAGGCCAAATCTTAGGTATTTTATGACTATGACGAAATTTGTCAAATGACCTTAATGCAGCTGCATAGGTGTGTTGAGTATTGCTCGACACTGATGCTTTAATTAAAGCAAAGGCCTCGGATTTTAGATAAGCCACAGATTCTTGGGTACTGGTGTCGGTTTGGTTCTGGCTTCTGGTTTCAGCTGACGAAACTTCTGAAGATCAAAACGAGATAAGGAATCTGCAATGCTTGTTTTTAAAACCAGGAATATACTAACCTTTGACTAACAAATTTATGTTGAGACAATGAAGTACAAACTGCCTCACAAACTGCATAGTATTCTTACATTTAGTTGACTGCTTGTTCAGTATGGAAACAACTGCTTGGTTATCACTATTTATTATAAACTTTTGGCCCCTGAGGGCATCAGCCCAAATGTTAACCGCAACATAGACTGGGAAGAATTCCAGCAGTGTGATGTTTCATGTTAGGCCTAAAGTCCTCTAATGTCCTTGCCATGAACTGTTGGTCTAGCGTCCATGAAAGTACGCACCAAAACCCACATGACTCTCCTGATGCACTGTCCCTGTAGAGGTGTAATGCTTCATTGGTAATCCAGCATTGATCCAGGAATAATGACGTTCCATTATGATTGTCCAGGAATGAAAGCCACATCTGAAAATCATCTTTCATATTCCTTGTAACCCTAACCTTATGATGGGGCTTCTTAATACCACAAATCGAATCAATGGATCTCCGTAGGAAGGCCCTGCCGATGGGAATGGCCCTACCTATGTAATTTAGTGAACCAATGAGACTTTCGACTTGCTGTTTGGTTGCTTTGGATTTTGACATGACAAACCTGAGTTTATCCTTAGCATCCTGTAGTTTGTCTGCTGGTATGGTTAACTCCATTCTGACTGTGTCTAGCTGAAATCCAAGGAAGCTGATTAATGTTGTTGGTGTTACTGTTTTGTGACTGGCTATAGGGATTCCGAGTTCGTCGCAAGTTGCTAATAATGTTGACAGGACTAACTGACATTCAGACTTATCTCTTCCAGATCCTCCGCACAGGTAGTCGTCCAAGTAATGCATCAACTCACCTATAGAATTTAACTTTGTTTGAACTATCCACTGGATGAAGGTGCAAAATTTTTCAAATATTGAGCAGCTTATACTGCACCCAAATGGTAATGCTTTGTCGACATAATATTTATGTAAGAATCTTATTCCTAGTAAGTGCATCAAAATTGCATCGTCAATGGATGAATAGATTACAGAACAAAGGCTAGGGCTGATGAAATCATTTACCGACATACCATCTGGATACGATAAGTGGTGGATGATGCGGTACCCACTACTTCTTTCTTTGGAACAATTCCAATAGGAGAGCTCCTCAGGTTTGGTAAAGGTGGGTTATGATATGGACCGGCCATTCGGCCTAATTGTACTTCATTGGAAAGTTTCCCAAGTATGATTTGTTCCATATTGGGATCTTGAGCTGATTTTAGGTTATTACAAACTAAACTGGCCTCTCTGGGGCCTGTGTAATGTAAATGAAATCCTTCGGTGAAACCGCAACGAAGAACACCGGCATCACTTAACAATTGGTAGGACTCCAGGTATGCTAACATCTTATCTACTTTGATAGGTGTGTGGCCCGAGCTTGCACGTTTTGAGAGGTTTCTGTTGCGAAACTGAAATGTATTCATCTCTGGGGCTGGTTGATTTCCTGTAACTGATTGGTTTAATCGGCACTTAGGGAATGGGTGGCTCCCACCACACTGATAACAAACATGAGGGAAACGGCAATGTTGCCTGCGACAAAATTTACCAGGGTCATTGAAGGTGTTTGCAGTTGGAGATTGTGAAGGCTGCTTGAAAGTGGTGAAACTGCGGTTCACAGGTTGAGGAGTGACATTCATGATTAGCATCCACAATTCCGAGTTGATTGTGCCCCATGCCTTGTCTGTGGATCTACTCATGCGCAACCTAAACTGCTTATCATAATTTTGCCAACCCTGGCCCCTGCTGGCGGCCAATCTAATTGTGTGCAAATATTTAAGGATTTGCCGGTGGCTTTCGGGAAATTCTCAAGGTATATGCTGACAAATAGGATAAAGGCTGTTGTCCACTCTTCCACTGACTGTATGTCCTTCGACTGGCGTGACATTTCCAATTGACCCATTGAGTTTACTCTGATAGTGCTATCCATACTTTGCTTATTTTCCAATCCCTTTATGAGGGTAGACAGATATACATATTCCCCATTGTGTATTTTATCCCTTATTGGTTGGGGTATGAAAGAACCAACATTGTCAGTTTACAAAGCAACCATTTTGTCACCACTGCATGCAATCTTAGCATTAGGCGTATCGTTGTCAATGGCAACAGATTCGAGAGCATGTGTGTTGTGATTTACTGACTGTACAAGTGGGATAGCTGGGGTATCTAAGCCTATCACTACATGAGACCGTGCATCATTATTGAAAACATGAGGTAATACATCACCTGATCCATTCCTCGCGTCGACGGGCTGCGATGACCAGGGGACGGTAGTTGACGCCATGTTGTCCGCAACGGCGGGCTGAGAACTTCGATTCGTTGATTTGTTGACTCGAGACGATTTCCGCGACGATTTCAGGTCACGCGGTGCTTGGATCTTCCACTTCCTCGATCTCCGACCTGACATCTTCTTCTCACCAAACGTACGGACAAGAACTTACACTAAGACGATAAATAATATGTTGCCTATGAGATTCACGTTTGGCCTCTCGCTGGTAGGGCTTCAAACAGTGGTCGAGTACTCGGGCACGGGCCGAGTTCAGTGGGACTCGAGTCCAGTTTGAAGGAATCGAGTACTCGACCAAGGGAGATAACTTTAATTTGGTCGACTTTCAATAAGTTAATAGAAACGTGTCTTCAGGTAACTTTCTTTTTCATGAGTAGTCAATTAAATCAAATAAAAGTGCCAATAGCTTTTCTTTTAGTTGTTTTTCGAAACAATACACTTATTTACAACCATTTCATAAGGGTATTTCCTGGTTTAAGAAAGTATTTTATTTCTTGTTTAAAAGGGATGCTTTACGAAACTATTCAATTGTCGCAAGCAGTAGACCTATTCATTCTAAATTAGCGTCGTAACGTTAATCATTATTAATTCAATATTTTCATAAGATATTTATAACTGGACATCACTTTACTGAATATTAACATTGTGTTACTGTATCTCATTCGAATTATCTCTTCAAATGTCGGGAAAACGTCTTATATAAGTCAACTATCAACAAGCCTCGTAATCTTTCAATGTTTTGTTTACAATTAAGAAAAAAGTAAATACTGACCTTTGAATTTGCGATAACATTGAAAATGTTACTTTGAACTTATTATCTATATTTTGTCATTTATTGACAATTCCCCTCGGCGCTGGCATCAAACGATCTTATTTATCATATAAGGTATACCTAAGAAGCCAGCCCGCTAAAATCCAGCCAATCACCAATCGCAACATACATCGCGTGAGCAATATTTTTTCGCCCTGAACATGGCGTGTGTTACATTGAGATGTTAACAAATTCTTTTCGCAAGTTGACAATTCTTATTTCAATGAAGCTTCAGCGAATCAGCATTCAAATTTCAAAGGTATTTTATTTGATACACGATCACATTGGTTTTCTGAGTGATCTACGATGTCATTGTGACTCTTTCATTTTGTATACGATAGGATAATTGCCAATTTTATTGAAAAGATGTATAATTGCGGATACTCAAGCACGAGCCGAGTCTCACCCCTCGGGTACTCGAGTCCATAGTTTTGGACCCGTTGAAGCCCTACTTGCTGGTGTACCAGAAAGAGGCTTGCTGCAGTCACGTGCGTCACGTGATCGGTTTACGATTACCAACACACTGGTGTAAGGGAGGCAAATCCACTGAACTGTGGTAGGGTGTTTCATACTGGCATTCACAAATTAGATTAACGTCTTTTGGTATGACGCGGCCGGGGATCGAACCCCGGACCTTCCGCTCTCCGGGTGGACGCTCTACCACTAGACCACGGAGGCAGTTGTACAAGTAGTAGTGGTAGTAGAAGTGACTTAAAGTAACTTATATGTTGTATAGCTTTTCTGAAGAAGTAAAATTCGATGGAACTGTGAGAGGCTTCAGACTTGTGACTTTCCACTGACTTGTTGATAAACGACATAAATGTCACCTGACAAAACCAATCGCCTTGGCGAACACTGCTTGTAACAAATTACAATTTTCATCAAATACCGAGCTGGTCACGTGTTAAGTCTGGACCATTATGCTGTCACTACAAAATGAACTATTAGTTCACTCAGAGTTTATTAGTTTATGATGGCAATCTGTCAATCACGTTGTGGACACACCTGTCTAAATTGAAGGCAGCTATCTCAGCGTTATGGCGCTCAAAGTCCAGAAAGTAGAAATGGTCCGGAGGCGTCTCATATGTCCGTGGAAACCTGCATGGGACAAAAGTCAGATGTTAGTTCAGCTATAGGGGCTTGGACACGAGTCTGTCCATTTGTGTTGAGCATACGTCACACCGATTGTCCTGATTGTGTGTCCTGTGTCCAGCCCATGGGTCACAAATCGGGCGAATGTTCAGCCAGCAGTGAAGCTGAGGTTAAATGGGGTTTAACGCCGCGTCCAAGATTATTGCCCTTATATAGCGACGTACATGCACGTTCGTGTGTGTATGGTTGCTTGTACCAGTCCGTAATAATGCCGATTTTTAGTGCTAGCTCACTGAGATGTCATGCCGCTGTTCAACATGAATACCCCACTCAGATACAGTATATTTCACATGAAAACCCCACTCAGACACAGTATTCTGACTCCCAGTCGACCAGTCCTTGTTTTATCCCCTTAATGCCGAGCGCCAGACAGGGTAACAACAAGTGCCATCTTTTAACGTCTTTTGGTATGACGCGGCCGGGGCTCGAACCCCGGACATTCCCTCTCCGGGCGGACGCTCTATCACTAGGCCACGGAGGCGGTCCTGAGACAGCAGTGAATACCCGGGGCACCTTGGCTTGTGTATACTTCCCAGGGAGCTGAATTTAAAATGAGAGCATTGACCAGGGTAATAATATAATGTAGCGCTGTGAGCACGGCGCATTACAGTAGTAGTAGTAGTAGTAGTAGTAGTAGTAGTAGTAGTAGTAGTAGTAGTAGAAGTAGTTCACCTCTGTGTGTAGACACAGTTAGAGGTGTCCGACTCATGGGTGATTGTTTGAATATTGAAAGTACCGTAGAGATATATATATTACGAAAATTATTCTGAACCCTTCATGCAAAAGAAAGTATACACTTCCAAATTGGGTTTGACCAAAAAGTCACAAACGCCGATACAATGCGAACGTAAGGTCCAAATCACAACTATGTACCCGTTTCAAGTAAATCGGAAGAGTCTTTCAGATAGTGAAAATCCTATAAGGCGATTATTTAGCTAGACATTTTCCAAGCAACTTCTTATTTCAAACAACCCAGTCACTGTTCACAAAATTCGGAGGTTTTATCAACAAATTAGTCTTTTCCATAAGCCTAAAGAGGTGTCGTACAATATCTGTCCACGCCGCGCACACACCCTCACTAATGGGATTTTATGGCGCTTCTATAATTTTCTCTCTCCTTACCTTCTCGGTTTTAATAACGCCTGTCCCTTGTTAGAGTAGGTCGTGATAAGCTTCAGCTGGGAGCCACCGTGCATTTCCTCTGTGGAGGAGAAATCCATAATATATACCGTATTTCCTCTATAAGACGCTGGGCCTCTAATAGACGCCGGCCTCTTATAAAAGTCGGGTCAATTGTTCAGTGCAAAAAATAGAAGCCGGGCCTCTAATAGACGCCGGGTCCATCAATTGATACAATTAATTATCCCCTTTTGGGACCTAAATTACATAATTTCGTGACGATTCGGGACATTCGTGGTCATAGTGAAATGGGGGTATTAATAGAAGCCGGGCCTCCAATAGACGTACGCCGGGCCTCTAATTGACGCCGGATCAAAGGCTTGTCCGAAATAGATAGAAGCCCGGGCGTCTGTACGGTACACTGTATGAAATACCAATGTACTAGAAATAATATCAATATGTACTGTTTACACTAACGTACATGGAAGGTTTCATCTCAGTCATATGGACTGTGATTGAGTGAGTGAGTGAGTATGGTTTTACGCCGCTTTTAGCAATATTCCAGCAATATCACGGCGGGGGACACCAGAAATAGGCTTCACACATTGTACCCATGTCGGGAATCGAACCCGGGTCTTTGGCGTGACGAGCGAACGCTTTAACCACTAGGCTACCCGACCGCCCCGGACTTTGATTGAATGACTGCCTATGGAGATTTCTCCATCTTGTACGATGATCTCGTTATCTATTGCTACAAGTAATTATCCAAAGAGATAAGGACGTGCCTTGTTTCACACTGGCCCAGACTGAACAGGTTAGTCGTAGAAGAAATGGGTGTGCCCACGAGGCGCCGTTTTATATTCATTCCATATTTTAAGTTGTTCATTATTGATGTTATTATATCAGTAACTGTTATTGCCGGGTAATTTCGAGTTATTATTAATATTAATTAACAATACATATCACAAATATTTGTATATTTAACAAACTCGATTATATTTTATATCGATAAAATTGGTGACTTAATTTGTGCTGCCACGAATCAATATTGATTATTTAATAATCCCCGAAATGGAATCATCCTTCCCTCGACAGTGTATCTGCGTGTAGTTGAACCTAGTCTGTCCTTGGACAGAAATCCTCTCTTTTTGGGACTCCTGGGAAATGAAACTGCCGGGCAAAAGAAAGTATACACCAATGTTTAATGATTGTATACAATGATACAAATCAGCGGTAATTAGTCGATGGTGATGTGTTTGCTACTGGTATCTTAATTGCATTTTGGACCTTAGGTTTGCAGTGTTTCGGCGACTGTTTTCAGTCTAGTAACGTTTGTTATTTTTGGTCAAATCCAATCTTTAAGTGTATACTTCTTTTGTCCGACACTGAATGTGGAATTTATTCAATAATTCCAATAATAAAACCATCCTTTCCTCGACAGTGTGGCTGCGTTTAGTTGAACCTAGGTTGTCGTTGGACAGAATTTCCGAGGAAATGGAATAGAATTCACCGATGGAAAGAATGGTTGAGCGTCGATCGTACTTTAAGGATGGTCAACAAAAAGATCAACCTCGGAAAGATGGATGTATACTGTCCAGTTTTGCCAGGCCATCGTCCAATTCAACCCAGTTGGTTCATGTTGGAGCAGTCTAGTGCTCTTAATTCACGCTATTCAACACTTTTCCCTGTCTGGTCAACAAATGTTACCTCATTGTCCCTGTACGTGTGTCTGCACCCAGATGCACAAACTGTGTCAATCGGTTGACACATGTGTCAAGATTCTGTCTCGTCCGCTCTTTCGAGAAATGCAACAGAACGCACCTGCGCCAGTCCAGCCACTGAAGCCATGAAGTGCGTCTGTATTTCCTGCATCATAACCAACCAGATTGAGTACGAGAGTAGATCATTTATTTGAAGATGCTCTCATTTGAACCAAAAAAAAGCCGTAAGATGGATCTTTGAGAGGATATAATTTGAGGAGAGGAATGAGCTCTCGGTCGAAATAGAAAGTGCGCAGCTGGTTCAGAAAACCAGTTATCTCTTTGAGGGGGCTCGGTTACCAGCACGGCGACCAGATGACGGCATAAACAAGACTACAATACACCTGATAGGGGCTGTGTGCTGAACTGGGGTTCAAGAGTTGGGATGCGGTTGAGTTGTTATTCATTTTTTTTGTATTTTTTGTTCTTAACGTTATGGTTTATTAAAATTTTATCATAATTTGTCCGACAAGCAGAATTGCAAAATTAAACTATTCGAGACCAAAAACACTTTGAAATGTCCCCCGAGATGACACTTAAGAAATAGTTAGATGACACATGGTAGCCTAACAATTTAAAAAAAAAAATTCTTTAATATGACACGAAATTCTAATAACCTGTTGAACTGTAATTCTGACTACAGCTATGATTACAGTGAATCAATATGGGAATACACAGATGCAGATGATAGTGGCTATTTATGTGAATTAAATGACCCTTTTACACAAGATGAAGTAAATGCGAGTTTGAAATTGCTCAAAACAAGCAAATCTCCTGGCCCAGATGGCATAGTTAACGAATTCTTTAAAGCAACTAAGAACTATATCTCACCATTATTAACAAAACTATTCAATAAACTTTATGACAGTGGTATATTTCCTAGTAGCTGGGGTAAGAGTATTATTTGTCCCCTACACAAATCAGGCAGCTTCACAGACCCAAATAATTACAGAGGCATTTCCTTGATAAATTCACTGTGTAAAGTTCTTACAACAGTAGTTAACAACAGACTCCAACATTGGTGTGATATTATTCTACTATTGACCAGATATTTACCCTACAAGCTATAATCAACAAATACTTATCAAAGAGAAATGGAAGGTTTTATTGTCTTTTTATAGACTTTTCAAAAGCTTTTGACAGTGTGAACCACAAAATGTTATTTAACAGATTCCTTCAACTGGGAGTTGAAGGTAAATTTCTCAAGTTTATAATTCAGATGTATTCAACACTATGTGCATGTGTGAGAACTGATTGTGGACTATCGCCATACTTCAAGTGTACCATGGGTACTCGTCAGGGGTGTATCTTAAGCTCTCAGATCTTCATCACATTTATTAATCTGTTAGTCTCAATGTTGGAGGAAGAAGGTGGTAGAGATGTGTTTATATCTACTCATATCCCTGATGTATTTGCTCTGTTATTTGCTGATGATGTGTCAACCGTCTCTGATACTGCTTTACAGCTTCAAAAGAAAATAAAGACCCTGGAGAAATTCTGTGATGAAAGTCAATCTGAATAAGACTAAAATAATAGTATTTCGGAATGGAGGTCCTCTTCGCAGTTATTAAAAGTGGTTTTTGAATGGTCAACAGATAGAAGTTGTCAACATGTACAGATATTTAGGAATTATTTTCTCACCAAAGTTATCTTGGGCCAAGGCCCAAGCATGTCTAGCAGCCCAGGCAAGGAAAGCACTTCTATCAATATATAATTATCAAAAACAATTAGGATACATTAATCACCATGATCTTTTTAATATTGTTGATGCTATGATTTCACCAATCCTATGTTATGGATCAGAGATCTGGGGAACCAGCTACTGTACTGCTATTGAGAGTGTCCATAACAGATTCTGCAAATCCTTTTTGTAAGTAAATCAACAACAACATGGTTCTAGGAGACTGTGGTAGGATCCCCCTACAGTATAACTACATGTACATGTCAAGAGCAGTCAAGTACTGGTGCAGACTAATTCAGATGGAACAACAGAGGCTACCCATCCAAGCTTATTATATACTAAAATCTCTTGATGATAATGGTAAAATTACATGGGCATCACATATTAGAATGATTTTATTTCAGTTTGGATTTGGTTTTGTTTGGCTAAGCCAAGACATTGGTAATATTCAACATTTCATGACAGATTTTAAACGAAGTTTTTACGACTGCCTCACTCAATATTGGCACTTCTCCCTGACATCATCAACGAAATGCAATTACTACTCACAGTTCAAGTCATCACTAAATGTGGAATCATATTTAACTTGTGATATGTCTTCTTACCACCGTAGACTTATAGCCATGTTCCGATGTAATAATTTCAGACTTGCTGTCGAACTGGGTCGTCACAACAACATCCCATATAATGAACGTGTCTGCACTTTCTGTTTTTCAAAGGGACATTACCATGTTGAAGATGAATTCCATGTTCTTATGATTTGTGACCAGTATTCTAGAGCAAGAAGAAACTCTTTTCCCAAGCGTCTCGTTACCCCTCCCTCTATTGAGACTTTTATAAGACTTAAGTCAGCTGAAAACGAAGAAATTATAAAAGGCTTAGGTAAATTTCTCTCCCAAGTCATGAACATCGAAAGGAAACAGTGTGGAACGGTAAATCATTATTAAATCTACCCAGTATGCAAATATATATATACAGTATATTTCCATTGTATTATGGGCCGGTGGCCTGAAGTACCGAATAAATTTGTCTGTCTGTCTGTCTGTCTATAAATGTGCAGTAATAAAACAGGATATGAAACTACGACAGCCGGTTATAGCTGGAATAAAACAGATGTCACTCACTTCCGGTCTTATATAAGCAATATCCGGTCTCGTTCCTGTACCTGCTTGTGCTGTACAGTAATTGTTTTCAGATAATGGACTGAATATTAAAATACATGTGTTGCTGATGATAACAAGATTTGACATTTCAGATAGCGGCAATATACATATGACGTGGCAAAGTGAAGCGATATAGTTTCCGTTGCTATTGCCAACAAAGGGTGAGTTCATTAGGTGACAGCTCTGTCGATGATTTATGAAATATTCATAACAACAAAGTTCGGAATCCATATCAGAATATTTATTAAACCATGCGGATTTGTAAAGTAAAGATTTTGTCTGGATGTCCCTTATTTGACAGTTGAAATGACTCCACTTTAACATGGTTCAGTCTCAGTACAGTATGAGTTGAGATGTCTGGGTATGAAGCGGAGATTATGTTTAGTCTTGGTGTGGAGCAGAGATATGGTTCAGTCTTGTATGGAGCGGAGATTCGATTTAGTCTTGGTGAGTGGCGAAGATTGGGTTCAGTCTTGTA